AATGCTCTTTTCCACACCTTCCACCCGATCTATTACTGTACATACTACTTTGCCTCCAAAAAGTTATATGAAGGCGTTTTTCATGTAGCGAAAAGACGATTTTGTCATAAAAATATAAATTGAAAGATTGTCTTCATATCTCTGTATGCGTCCTGGACGATGATGGTCCTGCTGTCGGTCCTAAACCAAGCAGGTGTATTATGAGTATGATTACACTTACCATCAGAGTCATCCAGTATAGAGTTCGCCTGAGAACGTCGCTTGCGTTGGGCATCAAGGAATCTATTCACCTGCTTTGCAAAGGCGGCCTCGAGTTCCTAAACATCGACCCTCCCCCGTCTGTTGCACGCACCGTAAACGTCTGTTTAACATGCAGAATTACACATGCGCAGAAGCCTACCTTTAATCACATCGTACACCTGTGAACCACGTAGGCCTTCTTTGGCTTCATTCCTTCAAATTTAATATGTTTAGTTGTCTCGTCGTTGAAGAGGGCGTGAAATACCCTCTTCACAAAATCATCTGTGTTAGGTCCACCGAGGCACACCAGGAATTCCTCTATGAACATGTCATGAAATCCTGCAAGCCTTACCAGTTGACTTCTGACCTGTGGGTCATGCAGCCTACTGCCGACCTCCAGAAAATCGGACTTAATGCGCATGGACCGCCTTAGGGGATTGAAAGGGAAGGCAGCCTCCAAGCTTCCTGGTACGGACTCTCGGTGGTCATCAGGTGACTGCATGGTGTGTAGATTATCATGCATGCGCAAGTTGCTCTTTATGAGCCAAGCCAGTTGTTTGCGCATAAAATCGTTGCTTTTCCCTTGCCTGCTTATTTGCGCCTGCATTTCATTCAACTGAGCGGCAGAACGGATCATGGCAACATACAAAGGAAATTAGTGCCATACAGCATTGCTTGTGTAACTCGCTACCCTGCGTGCTGGCAGCGTGTCCATTGACCTCCGGTCTGAGTCTCCTTCACCCGAAGCAGTAAGCTTCATAAGTGGATGAAGCATACTGCAGATGACATTGACTGCTCGCCAAGTTCCCAGTGTGGTTTATCAAACTAATTACGACGTTGCCTACTTGATTTCCGTCAATCAGTTTCGTTGCCACTTGGGGTGTTAGTCGTAGATGTCTACAACTACACAGAAAAAAATTGGTGTTAGTTACCTTTCTTACAACTACGTCCACCTCATGCCTTGATGCTCGTTGACCAAGAACTAAAGCCTGTGCTTTTAGGGCCAGCGATCATTGTCCACGAGGAGGACGGGAATGAATGGCAAAGGATACCAGTTAACAGTTATCCGCGTAATATTTTCATTAAAACGTGCGAGTTGTCATTAGGAAAGCAGACGAACTTCAAGATGTGTACCGGTAGGTGTGTTCAGTCGATAATACTTGAAATATCAGCTGCGTAGATCTGTGAGGTTGGTGATTCTATAGGATACAAGAAGTAATTAGCAATGTTTGTGAGCTCTCCTTATACTATGAGAACACGTCCTGCCCGAGGGCTATGCACCGATTAGCTGAAGAAGTATCCACTCGGAAACCGGTGCCGAGTATGCACGTAAACTGCTGTCGAACATCAACGCCCTCTGAAATCGATCCCCCGGTTTGCTCACGCAGAAACCAAAATTGTTGGCCACTGTGTTTGCACACACCTTGTGCGTCTGTTTCACTGAATCGCCTGGCTATCAGCTGTAGCGGCAGCAGCAGCCTCTTTAGTCGATCCAGGTAACCCTCAAATGGGGAATATGAGAAGGAGTCTGAGGCCCCATGACGTTCGACATCATCAGCGATATGCATGATGCTGTGGACGTTATAAACCATGTGCTCCTGCCCATATAAGGATGCGAGTCAATAAATTCTCTATGTGTCCGGTGAGGCCAGCAGTCGTTTTGGCCATAAACAGGAGAAGTTTTTAAAGTACCCTGGTGTACAGCAGAAATGGTCTGTACTCTGTGCCCTTCCAGGAGTCTAAATCGGTTAAACTTCTTAACCTTTCAGAGAACTCTACAGGTAGATACAGTAGATGTACTAACTCATGAAATGTTGGCCGAAATTCTGAAATGAGTTTTCCACTCTAAAAGATTACTTAAGTGGGGTTGTAATATTAGTCACCCTGCAGCATGCTTTCAAGGTAATTCAGTTACTTCAGGGTGCCAGCTTTTGAACAAACTTCTTTCCAGCTACCTGTGACAGCTGGACTCTGTATAAAATGACTGCTTAAGCAGTATGCATTTTTCTCAGTGGTTTTTGATGCCATTTTAAATCCAAATATTTTTAATAGAACATATGCACGAAGACATCCATTCTTCTACTCATTTGGTAGAAAATTACGTCATCTTCAAATCTTGTACTTAAAGAAAGAGTATAATTCTGTTTTCAAAAAGTTTCTGATTATGAAACTTTTTAAGACCGTGAGATGCCTGTTCATAAAGCATTGTGTCTTTGCATTTGCTAGTCCTCCTTGTAACGTCTATAATGTGGCTCGAATCCACTGCTAAGTTTTATGAACCCCACATGATATCCTCTTAGTAGCATATATAAATGTATGCTTTTCCGTACACGGAAAATATACAGCCTGTAGTTTGGAAATCCCGAATTCAGATGTTTCAGCAGGTAGATTCGAAATTATTCAGGAACTAGGAAAGTCCTTTTGAACCGAATTATACTCTTCCTTCAAGTACAAAATTCAAAGAACACATAATTTTCTACCAAATGAGCAGAGGAATGTATATTTTATGCGTGTTTTCTATGAAATATATTTGGATTTAAAAGGGCACCGAAAACTGATTAGAAAAATGCATACTGCCTAAGTAGTCGTTTTCTACAGTATAATGTTTGAAGGCGACCGGAAGTAAGTTCGTTCAAAAGTCGGCATATCGAGGTAACTGAAATAGCTTAGGACTATATTGCGTGATAATTAATATTACAAGCCTATCTAAGTAATATTTTCGAGTCCGAAACGCAGTTCGGAATTTCGGTTAACATTTCATGAGTTCGCACAGCTGCTGCATGTGTTTAAACCACGTAATCTGCAGTCATCTATTTTCACGTGCGTTGAGCGCAGTGTGCGCAAATTCGGTCTAGACCGGAGATTGACTATCCTAGAACCAGTGCATGAGTTTAACGAGCTGTGGTCAGTTAAGGTTCAGTGTCAAATTTAGGGCTCTAGCACCGAACAATGTGAGTGGACTGTTCACAGATCACTTTAACTGCAAAGTCTTCCGTCTAGAGTAAAATCTACGTTTCCCACTTATAGCATTATTCCCAGCGATTATAGTCAAGATCCCTCGTTGTCCGTTTTCATTGTCTTGCACTCGCACCCTAGAAGAAAAATCACACAGGTTATAGCCGCATGCACGCCCTCATAGGGATTTGAGCATTGCGAGTGAGCCCTTGGAGCCCTGGTAAGGTCACGAAACAACCAGATCCAGATGGCACTGTCATCCCCACTCGGTCATGCTGGCAATAACTTCGCCTTGAGATGTTTGAAACTGTTCACTTCATCAGGTCGGTAGCAGTTAATGACAATAAATGCCTCATTTCGGCTGGAAATGCGGATGGAAACTGTTTTGGGCTTTCTAGGCTTACTGTTTTCAATAGAGTCATCAAGGGCATTGCCAATTACCCAAAATACATTATTATTATTATTATTATTATTATAAACAACCAGCTAGGTCAGTTAGCTTGCTTATCTCTGTCTGCATTACGGTAGTCGACATCAGTTTAACAATGTTGGGATGGTATCGAGAGAGCGCATTGGGGGCTGGTCACTATCTGAAAGGGCGCGTCTTGAAGCATCTCCATTTGCATTTGGGAACAAGTGCATTATTGGACAGGCTTACAGAATTCCTGTGGCGATGATGTCATTGATCTCCGTCTATAAGCACCATGCTGTTGATCGCGTCCATCGTTGGTCTCCTAAGAGGACTTTCCACCGGTCTTCTAAGATTTTATATCGGATTCAGAGCAAATGTTCCTGCTAGAAACGTGGTGTTTTTACGAGACAGTCGAAATTCCAATCTTTGAAATGAGTAAAGGCGAGGACGTAGAATACCACGTCAAGATTGGTTCGGAATCCAAAAACTCGCTGGCTACCATTTATGCGGCTCTTGGTCATTCTATATTAGGACTTTCATTTTCAAAACGCTTTATATCTTTCACATCCATGCACCATGGTTGGTTCTCCAAGACATCTTTCGCGCATACCACAAACTTGTGTTTGGCACATGGGGAATTTGCCAAGGCCCGCCTCGTGGATCCTCACATACTGTAAAACCGAAGTAATTAATTTGCCAGCGAAACTTCCTGTGTCTTAAAGAAGCATAGCTTAATTACGATGCTTGGTATGATGTTGAGTCTTTCCGTATCGATACGTTTTTTTGTACCAGACCAGCACTGAGCGAATGAACGTGCAACACGATATTTTGCAACTTTAACGATACTCCAGGTGAATCTCGCTTCCGTCGCGAATTAGGTCTTGCACGTCTTATGACCTGTGATGCGATCTATGTTTACTCCCTGTGATTAAAGGTTCAAACTCACAATTACAGAGCTGACTTCCTCTAAAGTTATCGTGCCAACCTGATAACTTTGTAGTCAGTGCTGATTCCAGTCTGTTGTCTTAATCTCAGTGAATACAGTCCGGCCCCTATGGTTACGGCCTGAATTGTCCATGGCGCACCCGGCACTTTTGTCAGCTTCTTCCCACATTTTGCCTTCAAATCATTTCGTCGTGCTCCGAGGCTGTAAAGCCGTTTAAAACTTTCTAGTGACACTTTTTAATTTTTATGAAATTAACCTCCGCCACTACCACCATCTGTGCCACCACCACTCTAATCTCTTGTTACCTTACCTTCTCCCTCATTTCACCTTTTAGCGCACCCCTCGCGTATCCTTGCGGGATTCCGTCTCCCATCGCCGCATCCTCTAGACACTTACCCAAACGTCACCTATTAGCCTCCCTTTTTTCTTCTCGAATTTGCGCAGAACATGGGCATCCTTGACAAAATTGCCGAAGTGGAGCAAGAGATTGCTCGCACTCAAAAAAATAAGGGTAAGTTTCACCTCCTTTTGTGGGTTGACCGTCATCTCCAACAGCTACCGAATATCATTTGGGCCTTCTTAAGGCTAAACTTGCAAAATATCGAGCCGAACTACTGAAACCCTCCGAAAAGTCTGCCAAAGTAGGTTCTCCGTGATTGTAGTTCGTTATGCAGGGCCTCAGGGGGAAGGTTTTGATGTGATGAAGTCCGGTGATGCGCGAGTAGCTCTGATAGGTTTTCCTTCCGTTGGCAAGGTAGGTTCGCTTGTGCTTTCTTTCCCCATCACACCGGATTTTTCCTCCTTTTCAAGTCGACCCTTCTGAATGCTCTTACGTCTGCAAAGAGTGAATGCGCCTCCTATGAATTTACCACACTCACTTGTGTGCCAGGTGTGATAGAGGTTAGTTACTTTTAAACGGAAAAAGTAACTCATTCTGTTTAGTACGAAGGTGCCAAAATTCAGCTCCTTGACTTGCCCGGTATCATTGAAGGCGCCGCCCAAGGTACGTCCCACTGTACTAAATATCGTTGGTCTCCGCATACAATTTCCTAAGAAACACGGTTAAATGTAAAACATGTCTCATTTTTAGGCAAGGGCCGTGGTCGACAGGTAATAGCTGTGGCTCGCACAGCTGACCTGGTTCTCATGATGCTGGATGCCACCAAACCTCATGTCCAACGGTAAACTATCCTATAGTTCTTTGGACCGTTTTGACTGATTTAACTGACTACTCAGTTGTTAAAAATTCAGCAATCCCTTTGAGACAACTTTCTGTGAGGTTTAAGTGAAATTTCCGGGAATTCGAGTCTAATAGGCGAGCATTCGCTCAAGCAACACTGGCTCCATCACAACAAACTGTCTGATATGGTGTATTTCGTGGAAACCTTCTCCATGGAGCAGTTTCAGGGGGACAAGGATAAGTCAAAACATTGGTCCGACCGGTCAGTCACGGTATCTTCCCCTCTACCATTGGCTAGCTGGAATCATTACTCTTTTATATGCCGTCAGCCTTCACACCGCTGACATAAACTCCATGCCGGTCGAATTAGTGGTCAACATCACTGCAATCTTTGGCAAAAACACAGCTTCGAGCGCCCTTTGGACTGGTGCTTTTGAACTGGTTTATTGAAGCCTACTTTCTCTTTGATGCATATCTGCTCTCAAGCGTAGCGAGGTGTGAAGTTGATCGGCCTACCTAATTTTCGCTAGAGTGCAATAGAGTAGAGGCCGGCAACGCCGGTGCCCATGGACGCCACCTATAGGAGACATTTACCGACGAACGGACACCCCTGCCCTCTTTTCGGTTCCCCGCAAGTCCAGGGAACCTTATATTTATTATCTTGCCGTTTCAAAGGCATAAACTTCCTGACATGTCGTATCTCTGCATCTGAGGTTGTTGTTTATGACCGGAAATTGCTGCTGTTCGTGCCTTTGGCTTCGATCATGACCAGTCAAGTTGTGCGTATCGTAGCACTCTGGTCATTCAAATTCTGGCTAAGCTGTGACCTAATGAACAGTTTTTCGTGAGGCGGCCCTGCGAATAGATGGTTTCCTGTAGTTCTTGGGTTTGAAAGTGGACGTCCCCATCCACCCCTTCATAAAGTCAGTTCATGATTATGCCAGAAGTCGGCCGGGGAGGTGATATTTGGCGACTGGCTGTATTTCCGATATCTTACTACTGCTACGGCTGAATTGTTAGATAGATGTCTCAAACGTCAACAGTATGGTGACTTCACATGACCCACGACCGCTTATTAGCCGGACTTAACAGCCTACCTATTTCTCAGCTACTTTTCACTGAAGACTACTGCGTGTGGATGTACTGGGTAGCTCGCAGTTAGACTCACGGACCGACACCGTAGATGGAGACACGATCATTGGAACAAAAGCTTTATTAGCCTGACGTTTCGGATTCTCACTTGAGTCCATCATCAGAGACAGTCAGCAAAGCGTAGCGAATTGTCCAGGACCGACCCGTCTTTGCGGATGCTATAATAGCTTTTTGCTGACCCAGAGGTCATCCATATGGGCGCCGCAGCGGAGGTAAGGTCGACTACTTGTCTTCCTGTCGTGATGTTGCAAAGTAATCCGGCATTTCGTTGGAGAGGATAGTTAGATGGCGTTTGTGGACTTCCGCAGAACCATCTTAGTTCAAATATGTAACCTACTTCACACTTATAAGTAGCGGTTGTGGGTAGTTTTTAATTTAGTTGGGCATTCATGCTCCCGGCGCCTTCTGTTTGTGCTACCAATCATGTTTAATTATCCGTGCCTGTACTTCTGGATGCCTTTGCCACGACCTTACGGATTTTTATCTGATAGCTGGATAGTGTGCAAGCGGTGAGGCTACCCTCCTAAGTCAACAAATTTTGAAGTGCACCTAGTGACAGTCGAAAACACTCGTATCCTTAAAGTAGATGTGCTGGAAGCAGTAGCTTTCAATCTTTTCCGTCATATTTCCAGAGAACTGTTGGAAAAGGAATTGGAAAGTGTTGGGATTCGTCTTAATCAGAGGAAACCCAATGTTTACTTCAAGGTACGTTCAATTTTCGTTGCTACAATGCCATTAAGGTAACCGAGGCGTGTAAGTGCTTCGAATTTCCTAGACATGACGAGTTGGGAGTAATAAGTATCTTCGCAGTCCTCTTTTAAACTTTAGGTTTCCCGATTTTACGTCTTCTACGTCCATCGAAACTCGTGAAAGACGGATTTTTTTCCTTGCTTACACTTGCTGTTGGGAATATTTGCATATTCGGGGTGCAATGACTATAGACAGAACATAATATTAAACTGTCTCACGACATACTGAGCTTCGACTGGCAGTCAGTGCTGCTGCCTCCTTCTATCTCGGTCTGCAGACTACTGCCACCTAGGCGATCTACATTTTCCTTTGGTTTTCATTGGCAATATTGCAAGTCATATGAGACTGGCATTCACCAACCTGTTAAGATGGAAGGACGAAAGCAGATATTAATAGGTATTACTGGATAACTCCGCTGGACCCGGATTCGAATCCCGCGTGCTCTGGCGCCTGGGATTAGGGTACCAGAGGCTGACACCTGCTAACAGTCCGAAATGAGACCCTACAATGCACCCACTACATTTTGGTAACGCTTCTCGATACTTAACAATTCATCGTTACGTAACTGTCCCCTATTTTTTTTAAATTTGGAGCCCCGAGGCCGAACACGCAGTAGATGTACCATCTCATGAAACGTTAACCGACATTTGTTAATGCGCCTCCATTTCGAAAAGATTACTAAAATGGGGTTGTAATACTAATTATCATGTGACATAATGTCAGGATATTCTAGTCGCGTCAGGATGCTGGCTTTCGGACGAGCTCCTTATCGGCCGCCTATGTAAATCACATTTCGTAAAAAAGGACCAAAAATTGCACAAAAATATTTCTTTTACTCCTTCGGTAGCAGATTACGTCTTCTCCCAGTTTTATATATGAAAAAAGAGTATTTTGGTTTTTTAAAAGGCTATATTTATCGTACTGTATCACATCGGCGCATTTATTCATGCCGCTTATAAAGTAGGCAGCATGGTCCATATCCATCACGAAATTTTACGGGCTCTATATGTCCTCTTCATAATAACATATAGAAATGTATGATTTTCCCTGCACGAAAAAATGTATAGCTTGTAACTTGGAAACCTTGAGTGCAAATGTTACGGCAAATCGGGATCAACATTATTCGGGAACTGAAAGTTTTTTTAAAATCGAATGATACTCTTTCTTCAAGTATAAAATTTGAAGAAGACATAATTTTTTACCAAATTAACAAAATAAAGAAAATGTTTTGTGCACTTTTTCTGTAGAATATTATAAGGACCTCAAAAATCAGTGTCGAAAATTCCTGCTATTTAGCCAATCACCTTTTACGAAATAGAGTTTATGCAGGCGGTCGATTAGAAGCTTATTTGAAAGCCGGCGTCCTGACGTGACTGGAATATCTTATCCCTATGCGATATGACAATTAATATTACGACCCTACTAAGGTAGTCTTTTGGAATTGAAAACGCATTTCGGAATTTCAGTCAACATTTCAGGGGATAGCATAGCTACTGTACATGCCCATTTCCGCCTGTCAGTCTGGATAAGCCGCTAAACGTCACTCCTTCTTTGACGTTGAACTCTCTTGGTCGCATCCGAGGGCGGTAGATGCCATGAATAGAAAGTTAGACTCGGGATTTTGTTAAACCTCACTATTGACTGGATTTTCTGAATACCTTTTCACGGCTCTGACAGTGTTGAATTTGCACTCGGGCGCCGGCTGACTGATCTTGACTACATAGGCGATATCAACCTGTTGGCCTCAGGTTTTAGGGATCTACAGTCTGCGGTGTCACGCGTAAATGAAGGCGATAAATACGTCGGTCAATCCATAGACGTTGGGAAGGACATGGTGTTTTTGAGTATCATCCCTGACCGGGCGAGGGCAACCCTCGGGATTAATGGCCGTCATATTAAGAATGTAGATAGTTCCAACTACCTCAGGACGAGGCTGTTGCCAAAGTGATAGCGTGAGGACGAAAGCGTCTCCTGAATCGACGCTTCCCGCGACATTGTCACAGTCCTTAGAAAGTGTCTATGGACCCGACGCGATATCTCCATTGCCTCGAAGATCCCTGTGTGCCGGACATCAATTCGGTTAGTCCTCCTGTACGGTTGTGGATGCTGGACTATTAGACAAAAACTGGGGATTTTTGACAATCGTTGCCCATCGAGCGAAGTACACTGACTTGCTTTCGAATGAGGCAGTCTGCACTCACTCTAGCAACATTGCGAGCATATCTCAAATCATCCAAGACGGACGACTAAGACAGTTTGGGCACTTTCTTCGCCGTCCCTCTCACAAGCCCTGTGTTACGCTCCTCGATCCATCGCCGTTGCTCACCTGGCGGCGTCGATGAGGAGACCAACTGAAAACCTGGCTCGACGCAATTCAGTAAGACAGGAGGGTTTCATGAACCCCGGCATTTGGTCACCGTCATCGAAATGGAGGTCTGTTGCCAAAGATCGTCACGCGCGGAAGGGCATGATCACAGCTGTGCCAGGTGTAAGTGACATTTCGACCGTCCTACATGACGACGTCGACCGTATACAGCACGCTGTGGGCGCGGGACGGTGATTTATCGTGAATGAGATTACGGTGGAGCGGAATTGCCCAGCATATACCGCCCTCTTCCCTCTCTCACCCATCTGGGAACACAATGCCAGAGCGACCGGAGGTGGTGGACACGGTAGCGGTGACCGATGAGACTAAACAGACCGTCCATGCATGCCACACGCGACCTGGTCCCGCACAAACGAGGGAGCGGCCTGCATCTCACTTGCCTGACTGTGTCCTAGAGGTCACATTTAACAGGAGCCGTCGCAGTCTGACGCTCAGAGTTTGTTGACATAACAGCTTGGAGCATGAAGTGAGGCAGGGAAGCAGTGGATCGTTGGGACAGTTTTTTCAGTTCTTCGCTCTACTGAGCTCGTAGAGGAGTTCACTCTCAGCGTTAAGATGGTCATTGAAGTGAGTGGTATTCGTGAGATCCTACCCAATCAATGACCAGTATTGCAGGTCTGGATATGCTCTCGCGCACGTGAAATCCGAGCCGTCTCCCTCCCTCGTCCATGACGTAATAGAGCCAAGGCGTAGGCTCACCTCCGTCACTCTTCACACGCACTACTGTCCAAGAGGACTGCATTATCCTGTTTGTTGGCAACTTTCCAGGCCGCGTCTTTTGACGTGTCGTGATAAATTTAAGCGCATCAAACTCATTATTAGTGAAGAGTTCGCTGATTTACCCCGATGATGGATTCCAAAGAATCGGCCGCAATCTCCCATCTTCAGTCGACTGCTCAGACCTGCCAACCGTCCGTTGCCAAGATGGGCCCCAGGGACTGACGCGACGTGATGGCCTACATCTGGGTGTGCCACCACATCCGGCAAACGAAGTTGCATACGCATGCAGCACTCCAAACGTGACAGGATTGAGCTTCTCTGAGAGCTTTTCAGAACCCACGGCTATCTACTCGTATTCACTGAGAGATGTCGAATGCCCCAAATGGTTGGACACGGGAATGTGAGCCCTCGTATTAGCTTATAATGAGGTGGACTTGCGAAGTATCGACCGCACCCTGGCAGTTGTTAACCTTCGAGGTCCGATGGATGGCACGTTGTGTAGGCGCGTCAAGTTTATGCTAGTGAGGGATCTGCTGATTTGCCTTGGCGATGGAGTCCTCAATGTCGACCTCACTCTCCCTTGCCTCTCCTATGCACCAGTCCACTGTCCGAACCTGTTAACCATTGAGTGGCGGGATTGGACGCAATGACTGACGCAGCGTGAGGACCTACGTTTAGGCCGTGCTATCGCATCCATGCATGACAGTAATTACGGGCTCACGCGGACTTGACGCAGCCTGGTAAACGCGTCCCGCCAGCTAGTCTGACCTCTTCTCGTTTCGGTTCAGTAAAACCCACTGCTGGGAGGGGGGGGGGCGGACCAAACACGAGTGAGTAGACACGAGATGTCCAGTGGCACACTGGAGCCGAGTTTGAATCCCGGATACTCAAGTACCTGAGATTGGGGTTTCGCCTTCTGATGTCGACTAATATGCCAGGAATGGCCATTCCGATATTTCGATAAGAGTGTTTTTTAAAACCCCAAGAAGGCGTGAGTAAAAGGAGTGTTCACCCTACTGGGTCTATAGAGAATTACGTCACCTCAAGAATTAGGATTTTTAAGAGGGAACACCTCGGTACCAAAAATGTATCGAGACTTGGAATGCGCTTGTTTGAATATACGCGCCACCTGGCATCATAACGGAGCATGCCAGTTCTACCTTGTACTTTTCGGCGCCACTTCACGGAACATTCGCTGTGCGCATGCCATCCGTGGGTTGTATGAGGAACATGCTCCACCAGAAATTGTGTATCCGAATTCGCTACTTCAAAACTCGAGATACTTGCACGCCCTGGATTTGGACTTCTCCTCTGGTTTCTAGTTATTAGGTAGTACAGACTACCGGGTGTTTGGAAACAGTCAAATCTACTTGACCGCCAGTACAGTTGGGGGCCCTCAATTTTTCACCAGTTAGGCCCGTGGAGGGCTCGCATTTAGCACGCTTGAGCTATATGTACCCTTTTTTGAGTAATGATTTTCGACCATACTGTCCTCACCAATGACTCCCAGCCTGCTGGGGACACCATTTCAACCATGAAAAAAAACTGTTAATGGAAACATTTGTGTCTTTAAAAATGTTACCTACTCTCGCTACTTTTGTTAAATATTGCTGTACAATCATTTTTAGGCAAAGAAAACGGGCGGACTTACCATCACTTCCATGTGTCCTCTCACGCATATCAATGAGAAGATGGTGCAGATGATTCTGCATGAGTACAGTATCCTTTCAGCTCATTATAATTAAAGCACTCTACCATTTCTTACAAGAATGTAGTGGAATCTAACAGGAGTAATGAACATTTTGACCAACCGGCTAGGTTTGTTGAGCACTTTTATCTCTCAGCTCTCTTCTCTCCTTAGGAATTAATTGGCTAGATTGGAGTAAATCAGACTAGATGAGGCCTTATAGGCCCAAGTCGAGAGCTGGTATGAGTATTTTAGTCGAAATCTATGACCCTCTACGAGATGACCGCGCGATATTCATAAACGGCCAGCAGATAGCTAGTAGTATACGTATGTTGCACGATTTTGCCATATTGACAGTACAGGTATTAACTAACGATAGCTTGCCAAATTCGCGAAGAATTTTTAATGTGTCGCCTACAGGGCTAAGGTCTTTTCTAGTGTAAAAGTTGACGGATTTAACTCATCCACCTGCTAAAACCGGTTTTCGACTAGATGCCTCTAAAAGCTGCTAACGTGGTTTTAATAGAGCACGACAAAACTAGGCGAATATTCGGAAAAGTGAATTTTACAGAGGCGGTCACCCCTTCTGTCCTAGAAAGAAGCTGAATGAATGCTTGCCTCGCCTCTGTAGATGAACTAGAAATGTTCTGTGCAATATGGCTCAAATCAATCAGTTTTTGTGAGCGCGGCATTTAAAATGTTTCTAGAAGTTGACAGCTTAGTGTTTAGAACATTGTTATCTTATTTAAGTTACCTCTATAATTATCTCCTTTTTGCTTTCGAACCTTTGTAAGAAAAAAGAGGGCCTTTTTAAATAATTCTGCACAACACAAGAGCTGTTATTTATCTAAAGCTCCCAAGAAAAAGTAACTTTTATCATTGCCATTTTTGGTTAATTCGAGTATTCTGTGGGATACCAAGTTGTCACGCATACTCAGACTAAGCGAGCTTACTGTTGTTATTTCTTATTTTCGGAGCAGTTGTTTCTAATCTCACTCGCTCATGCCCGCATCTCGTGAAGGCGAAAATGCAACAGCTACTAGATTAATTTCAGTACACATGCGGAGTCCTCCGCGAAAACCATTTGTGCCGTGTCTAGGCCGAATCCGTATCGGCCAGTCCAGTTGAACGGTCTGTAAATGCACTTTCTAAAGTGCGCGGAGTGCCCACTACTGTTTACGGAGACCGTTGAACATTCATCAACTTGGCGCGCCAAAAATCTAAGCAGGCTTCCGCAATGTGGCATTATTTAGACCCGTTGGGTTGACATCTTTCCGCCTTTTATTGTTTTGGTGATTTTGCGCATCTACTTTGTGTTCAAGCTGCAGTGCTGTTGATATATTCTGTCCTTTTACTAACTCCTAGCCTAAAAATCTTCATTTTTTCCTCCCCGGAAACTTCTTAACTCATTATTTAAAAAGAAATTTTCAATGCCGACGTGGTCATACGAGAGGATATCACACAGGACCAGCTAATCGACGTGGTTGTGGGCAACAGAGTCTACCTAAAATGTCTTTATGTAAGTTCCCACTCGGGGTTTTTCTGTCTCCACTTTTGCCTATTTTCTGATTCCTTGAAGCATTTCGCCGCTTTCCAAAACATCAGACGGTCATCGAGGGTTCGCTTGTAGTATTCTTATTGGAAACACATTGTCTGCTTTTAGCGTCTGTAGCACTTCTGACTCAAGCCTTTTTTTCCTCCAAGACACGGGTGCACCTCACTGAGGTTCTGTGGGTGTGCCATGTTGGATCGTTTCTTTTAAAGGCTGCACTCGCATTCGTCTTGACTCTCCCAGCTGCTCGTATGCATATTCTAGTCCAACGGCAGGTCGACCATCACAAGCGTTAGGGTCCGTTCTCTTTCCTGAGGGCACAGTTTTGAGCTGCAGGCAAATTTTTTTCATAATGAGGGAGAATTGCGCAGTCGCCAGCTCACTTCCTTCACGCCCACCGCACGCCAATGGTAGGACGTAGTCCAGATAACTGGAGGTCTACCTGAGCGTAGTGGCCAACGGGGCTAAATTGTCCGTTTACGGGTGCCACGCACGACCGCAAAACTAGGTTCGAAGGAAGAGGAGAATCTCGGATCTCGCGCAAGCTGGAGTGCCATGAGAGCCACGCTAAGAGGGGTAGCCATTGCAGCCCGACCTTCAGGCCAAAGAAGGGCTGAGTTATTCCGTCAAGTCACGACTGCTACCCCATCGACCCAGCTTGGATACAGAGAGTTGGGGTTCGCATTGGCAGGAGTTCCCTCAACACCGTCTTCTGCGCACCGCCTTGGATGCAGGAGCAATTTCGCGACGCCCAGAAAACCAATAACATATCCTCAAGCAAGACAGCCTCGTTCTTACTCTCCGTGTGCTCGAGTTTTGGGGTTGCAGTGTGAAGTGCTATGGACTTCAATATTGTTTTTGCAAAACATAAGTCATGAATACAAAGCTGTCTGAGCAGAACAGAATGCACAAGCGCATTCCAGCGAACGCTGACAGGCCTGCTACTAACGTGACTCGGAGCTCATGTAAACTGTATTATTGACCGCCAGTCATGCGATATCTCGCAGGCAATACCCAGGCTGTACTGTTTTGAGAATCCTTATGTAGGCGAAAATAGCCGAACAGGGCCTACGTCGCGTCTGAGTGTTCCGGGTCAGCGCAGGTTGGTGTTGACTGGGGTTTTTGACACTGGTTCTTCAGTCGCACACTAATAGATTCGCCGGAGGCTGACATGGCTGATACAGAATTTGAATGTGCGATTTCATTTGGGGGGGAGCATCTTGACGCTGTGTCCACGTTACTGGTGGGTGTATTTTGCGTCCTGACGGCGTTCACGTTACGGCGGGTACGAAGACGTCCAAACAAGCTGAGCCGGGGCTGAAACATGGTGTTACTTTGAGGGGGACTAGCCAGGAAGCGGAAGGTGCCAGCCATGATGGCAGTTTTTTGGTGTGGGGGGAGGGGGTTGGTTATGTTGACATTGTGGTCGACCTGAAGGTGTCGCGCGTGGCTTATCTGTGCCTTGAGTGTAGACTGACTATGAAGACGTGTGGGCGAGATTGGGCGTTGGTGGTGTGGGTTCGTGATATTGTCGTCTTGCGTGTTTGATGCTTTGCCGTGATCGCTCGTATTTGGTTCACCTCAAACGTTACTGTTCCAGTTTTTACGTCAGTACACGAAGCCTGTCGATCCTGTGCAAGGGCTTCCTGGGTCTCATTTAGTCCCGTAGCACCTAACCGATATTATCAGGGTGTCCTTTTATCGTCGCTTTCGCCCACTGTACCCACGAGCGCCCGTAGCGTCATCGCCGCCGTCCTCACAACATGGCTGGTCTGTTATATTTGAATCTGCTTCAGTGTTGCTTAGGTGCTGAGTCCGCCCCTTTTCCCCTGCCCTGTGATCTGTTCCTACGAACTCGCCTCCAGGATCCTTCAAAGGTAACTTTGATGAGCGTAGTTTAGAATGCATACCCTAAATTTGATTCATGGCCCACGTGTCGGTGTCGCAGGGTGACATTGTCAAGACAATGGTCACGGCGATTCCAGACTGCACCTTTCAAATTGTCGAAGAGCTGGCGGGCTTTTGAAGTCTAGCTTGGACAACAAGGCTCTTTAAACGGGCCACGTGGTAGATGCGGTGGGCGAACACGGAGGCCATATAGGATCCTGGCAGACGTTATTGGAATGCGCACCATGACAACTGTAAACATTTGGGGGTACGGTGGCAGACGCGGTTGCCGGCAGACGTTGCGCACACTGGGACCCCTGCCGCCACCCATTGTTGTCGGTCAAAAACCTGATCATTTGATGTGTGGACCAGGGGGTGCGGAGTGGAGCACCAAGATTCGATGTCGACCGTGTCATCCACCTGTGCCCTCTCCCCGCCTCCGGTCTTCTCGACTCTGTCTTGACATTGGGTCCAGGTGGGAGAGGAGGAGAAAGTGCGGTTGATGCTGTGCAATTCTACATTCACTATAAGCCAATTCACGCACAAGTCACCGTCCCGGCCTCACCATGCTGTGGAGCACACGGTGGACATCGTCGGCAACGACGGTCGAACTGTCGAATCAGTTCCAAGTTTGTTGGCAAGGAGTCCCGCACCCTGTAACGTGATTTCACCGACCACCAAGAGGCCGAGGACGCTGTCCTTGGACATCTTGATTTCTGCATCCATCAATTAGAAGCTGAGTAGACGTCCATCCTTTCGGTTGTTGACATTACTTTTAGTCCGCACGTCACGGTGGGCGTCATCGCCATGGCAGAGAACACGGAGGCGCACGTGATTTAGAACGATTTTCCGACAATAGGATTGCACCGTCTGAGCTGAGGAGTATCCCAGTCCTCTTGTCTGCGGAGTCTTGACTGCGTTGATAGTCACGATGAAGTTCGTCCTCTCTCCTCTGTTCCGCCTCGCGGACCGGCCAGTGATTTTGCGTCCTGCTCAACCTCTACTGCAGTAGACTTCGGCATCGTAAGGCTGCATTTTTGCCTACCCCGATCGTCCTCCCCATCTGGGTTTGGGATTACCCACTACCTTTTATTCAAAAAGGAGACACTGAATTTCTCCAGACAGAGGGCGTAATGTTTCTCACGGAAATTGTCCTTCATACAGCCATGGTTTGTTATCAAAGACCGGAACGCAGACAGTGCATTCCTCACCACGTAGTCTGAGCCTCGTGGTCATGAGACGGTTGTTGATTCCCTGCGGGAAGTGGGGAAATTGGCACATCAGATATTTTTTTGATGGCAAAGGCCAGTCCAGCAGCTCGTCAATCGGCTTTTTGGACCTCCGTTGCGCATTTCATCCGATAGTCCTTGTTTAGAGAAGCGAACTCCGGGCCAGTTCACGGTCGGCCAGAGGTGTCTTCCCTTCTGGCTTATCAGCAGTCGTACTGCCAGGATGAACACAGCCATTCTGCGAGATAGGGGGGGGAGGGAATAGGAGATGGGGACGTTGGTTGTCATTATGTCTTATATTCCTTCGACCATTTGCACGACATTCACAATCAACAGTTAACCTGCCGACGGCGGGATTGCCTGCACTCATCAGGGTACATTATCCAACCTCTTCTCTTGCGATAGGGTACTCTGTACTCCTCTAAGCAGTGCAGTTCAGTCATCTCGGGTAACCGCTAGATCACGGCGTTGGTTTAGTCTGGGAAATAATCCCAATTTGCCTGAGCCGCCTACAAGACAGAATGCCGCCCTTGCCATAGACATGCTTTATGAGGAGGCGTGAGTGGGATTCAGACCTTGGACGGACGTCGACGCGCTATTGTTGATCCCCAGCATTCCCGTTCGGCATGCTTGTGAAGTAACTTTGACCCCTGCTCCTCTCCGCTATGAATCCGTCGTGGCCGGAGTGCGTTTCTCATCAAGAGAGGTTGATGAACGACATTCTCACGCATACCTGTTAAGTACCTGAGTGAGAGGGAAATAAGGAAAGTAAGAAGGGGAGGAGGCCATTGGTAAGGGTTCTGCATGACCGAAGGAATTGAAGTGTTCTCTGTTTTGCAGGCCAGATCGCGTTAGTGTCCCAGCTCTCCACCCGAATCGATAACTTTATTAAGTCCTCCTCGCTCTCTGGATCAGTTCGTTCTCGTGCTCTCGCGGTCATTCGTACAACTGGTGTTAGTACTTGCGAGGTTTCCAGCCCAAGACCACACCTTCCGGGCCCGACTTCGAATTATTGGCCATACTGTCCAGTGTTCCCTTACCCCTGAACTTGTCGAACATGCACTTACTAACCGGACCTGACCTGATTCCGTGCTGCGAAACACAGGCCCCCTTCTTTACTTTCGAGCTGCACGCTATGGTCCTTTTAAGCATGTCGACTGTGCCTGTTTCGACTAGTTACTGTGTGCACACGCATGCAGGCATATCACCTTACTGTCACTCTTGGTCTGCAGGCCTGCGTACTTTAGAGGCCTGTCTTTCATTACCTGTCGTTCTACGATTCGTTCCTGCCCCGCCAATTGCTCATTCCAGTATATGTTGAGCAACCAGCTGCCAGCACCATATTCGTTACAGCTCAAGATTAGACTCCAGCCCAGTCTCTCTGTTGTTTGACTTGTATCCTCTGCTGCATTTCCGAAAAGTTGACTTTGCCGACCTCAGTGATATGAGATTGCCTGGCCGAAAGAGAGAAATGACTACTTTTCGCTGCCGTACGACCAGGCGAAAAGGCAAAACGGAACGTTCTTCTTTTGAACTGCACCAACAGATGGCACTGGACTCCTAGCAGAAAGCATCTTCTGATTCAAGCCCGAAGTCCCCGAGTCATTGGAGCCGACTGAACCCGTAGGAACAGTCTTCCTTGTCTTTGTCGGTTATAGCATTCTGCCTATATATCATGCGCCGCTGTGCGGCTGCTGGTTAGGCTCGAGAGAGAGCCCTTAAGGCACAACGGAACGAGTGAGTTCCGTATGAACGATCGGTGAGCGCCCCCTACCATTGTATATTCCCGATCGAAAACCGACAGGGCAACGGGCTCGTGGCCCGGTGGGTAGAGGCTTGGATTTCTAAACTAACAGGTCGCGAGTTCGAGGCTCGGGTGTTCCACACTTCGGGCTTGGGTATCGCTGGCTGACGACGGTTAATAAGCCAGAAATGGCCATTCCAGTCTCCCTTGTCTTTGTCGGTTATAGCATTCGGCCTATATATCATGCGCCGCCGTGCGGCTGCTGGTTGGGCTCGAGAGAGAGCCCTTAAGGCACAACGGAACGAGTGAGTTCCGTATGAACGATCGGTGAGCGTCCCCTACCATAGTATTCGGGTCGTTCGCTGTCGCACTGGGCTATGGTGACTTGCGCGGCGCGATCTTGATCTCGCGCTCTGTTGTTTACCCATCCGGTTCAAATAAAATCCGCCCTATGGGGAGTCTTCATTTTCTGCCGGACTTGATCCGAATGCAAACAACTCCGACGGCGATCACGCCGCCGTCTGCGTTGCCCTCATCAGATGCTCGCTTTGATGCTTTTTGGGTGGTCAAGTCTCCTTCAGTGTGTCACTCTTTCATGTTCACGAACTGTGCGAATTTGGCGACTCTGGGGACATGCATTGTACTTTCTTTGGCGCACCCTCACACGGCAGTACTCGCCATTTGGCTATTTGATGGTGCCTTCTCTAGATACGGACTTACTAAGCACAGGATCGCATTTATTTTTTGCGCGCGTTTGATGCGCGAGCGTCGAGTCGGGTTGTAACTGCGCGTGTGTAGAGCACCGCAGGCCGCCGCCGCCCGGGAGGATGCGTCATCGGGTTCAAACCGAGCGCAGACGTGTTTACGCGGCTTTCCGTCCCCCATTTCCACAGTGCCATAAGCACGGTTGTTGCTTGTAGTAAAGAAATAAACTGTTGGTTGCATTTCCTGGCTTGCTGAAACAACGCGTCCCCCACCACTGACGTTGAAGGTATTCCGCTGTGCTTCAGTAGTTAGTTTGTTGACAGAAAATATGGTGTTCAAATGGTTGTGAAAAATACCCGTACCAGTTTCGTTCGCGGTGTATGAAATGTCTTAACTACGGCCCGTTGGAGAGTATTGTAGTTTTTTTTTCGAATCAGCCAACTCACGCGGTAACCTCGCTGTGCTCCTACAACGAGTCTACGCGGGAGGTGCGCTGAACGAACACGAGGGCCAGAAATGGGGGCACGGCACGCGCTATTCGGACTGCCCGCCCATGATGAATGCAGCACATGATGAGTGTGGCAACATGCCTAGGCGCGGGTCCACGCCACGCCGATCGCCTGCACCCAATCCCCTCATCAGATAGCTGACGGGTCCGGAGAGCAAACGGGTATGTGGGATAGAGGAGAGAGCGAAAGTGAGCTCTACTCACTCAGCGTATATTCCTCACTATACACAGTCAGACTCGTTCCTAATCTATCATGGTGCGCTAACGGCCGTGTCTTGGAAGACTGCCAACTGACGGGACAACTGGGTCCTTCTCTGAAGACTCTGAGTCAGGCTGCAATGGCTCCTTTTTACCGTGACATCTATGGCACTCCCAATCAGTTGGGATCCGAGCCTCTCCCTCTGTGTTTCTGTGAAAACTTGGTCCATCTTGCTCAGACTAGGCGTGTGTGTGGCACGCGCAGACTGTCTGTTTAACTTTGCTTCCGTTCCCGCCTCTAACCCCTACTCTGTCCTGGCACCGGACTTGGCTGGGTAAGAGAGGAGAAAGCGCGGTAGATGCAGCGGAAGTTTGATACCACTGCAAACTAAAACACACGGAAGTCGCCGTTCCTGCCCCCACCTGGCCTTGGAGCACTTGGTGTACATCGGCGAGAACGACAGCCGAACTGTCGTCGTCGTCGTCGTCGTCGTCGTCGGTAACTCAACGTGACAGAATGGAAAAGTGTGACTGCTCTGTCACTTACTCGTGATTCCGTCTTATGTCAAACATTTCCTGACGGTGAATTCTTCAGGAAAGATTTGTTCGAATCATTAAACTTGTACGTTAACTGTTTTCAAAACAATCCGGAAATAGAATCAGTACAGTTCGTTAAACAGATTTCATATAAAAGCGAAAAGTTGTGCCACCTTTGCGCAATGACTTTCCAACTTTCTGTGAATCACGTCAAATGGGTCACCAAGTGTACGGCCCATAAGTCCCGTTTTTCATTCGTAAATTTGCACCGATCTAGGAATGTCGGCAGGCTTCAGTGACCGTTTTTCCTCAGGTTAAGGTAAGTCTTTCTGTTTCAGACAGGCGCGAGACGGATAGAACATCCGGAGGTATTGGAATTAACAAACTGGGCCCCCTAGAACGATAGCTGCCTAGCTCAGGAGGTACCTCACGAGATAAAGTAAACACACATCAGAATCTGTCCAACGAAATGAAAGTGGTCCGTCTACGAGCGGGCAATAATGGCACACTTCTCATAATCGGCGATGGCTATCTGCGCCAGACGATTAGGTGTCGATGAGGACTTGCTGGTTAGCGAGATTATAGGGAGCCTAGCATTGGTCTGTCTTCATTCTCACTATCGTCATGGTTCGGTGCCGCAGCTACACCGAACTACTGACTGCGCGCAGTGCCGACCCAACATAAAGTCCCCGCCTACGCGTGCCACATCACGGCTGGTCTCTCCGAAACTCGCCAGATATCCTTGTCCGGTTTTGTGCAGAGGTCTAAACGGCGTCTAAGTCTGACTGCTATGCAGAGCACGGTTTCTTGGAGCCACGGATGAAAGCTGTGGGAGGGCGGGCGTCATTCCAACAAAGTATACCTCTCCTCTCTGTAGCCCTCCTGGCGGCGAGAACTGAGGTCTGTATGGCAGCACATAGTACTCATGCCCGCAGCCGAGAGAAAATAATTTTCCACAGGGTTTGGTGTTTTGTCAGACGTCTGACAAAGAGGCCTCCCGCCGTTTTGCCTTGACCGTCCTCTCATAAGGCATCTTTTCGGGTTTGGCCATTTGACAACGACACTCTATTAACCGGCTATTTCATTTGCGCTTACTGTTCTTAACGCTATAGCAGCAGCCTTGGGAATTGCGCGAGCACACTCAAATGGGGTGCTCGTGGAGTTTCTATTTTTGATGGCGTTTTTGTCAATTTGCTCCTGTGAATGCTGCCGCATAGGCTGGTGGTAGGTCCATTAAACGGTTGAGGTCTGCCGGAAATGTATTCGGCGCTTGCGTTCTCGGGGTCTGTCCAGGACTTTGACGATTTCGCAAGGCATTCTGCAAACCTTGTGGAGCATTTCTTCATCAGGCGAAAAATAGTCTGCCGTGTGATTCCTCCATCTCTCTCGTCAACAAGCATGCAAAAGTAGCGTTTTCAATAACAGCCTGCCCTGTAAATTTTTCAACGAGCGTCTTCCCGGCCGCCCGCAGAAACTGCACAAAATAAGGTCTTGAGTAGTATGAATCTTTCTGGTGATTTTCAATGCTCTTATAAATTCACATGTATTTTACAGTAAAAATGCACAAAAACAGTTTTCTTGTACTCACTTGGTAGAAAATTGCGTTTTATTCAAATTGTGTGCTTGAGAAAGGGGTCTTTTTCTGTTCTATGAAGTTGTTAATTATGCAATTTTTAAGACCGTGAAATGTCCATTCATACAGCATTTCATCTATCCGTCTATTCATACTGTTTGTACACTATACAACATGGCCCACGTTCATTGCCAAATTATATGAGCCGTATATAGTACCTTCTTAATAGCATCGAGGAATGTATGATTTCCCTTGTGTGGAAAGTACACAGTTTGCAGACCGTAAACCCTAAACGGAAATGCAACGGCAATTCGGGCTTAGATTGCAGGGGAATTAATGAACTTCTTTTAAACCCGAATATATTCTTTTTCAAGCCTAACATTCGAATAAGACGCGCTTTGCTACTAAATTAGTGCAAGAAGGGCTATTTTTGCACATGCTTTCTATAAAACGTTTTCGGGCTCGAAAATCGTTGGAAGAAATTAAACGACCTAAGCAGTCACTTGTTACCAAGTGCAGCTTTTTCAGGCGAGCGAAAATAAGCGCATTCAAACCCTGACGTCCAGGAGGGACTGAAAAATCTTGTGATTATGCTTCACGATAATCAATATTCCGATCCCACCAAAGTAATCTTTTCTAATCAAAAACGCCGTCACGATCGCGGCCAACATTTCATAAGATTGGCCGCTGACTGTACACCCCAACTAAATTTTGTTATTCATGCCCCCTTACCGTGCTCTTCTGTCTTCTGAGAGACGGATTCTTTTGTTTTTACAATCAGGCCTATAACAAGATTGATCAAGTTTCGTTGGAAGAAGTGGACGCGCTTGCCAGAGAACCGGACTCCATCGTAATCAGGTTAGTGTGTCCCACCTTGCTGTTTTTCCCAATTTAGACACCACTGTTTCCCTAATTATTACGGACCGAAGCAGTCATGGGTATCTCACTGTGTGTGTGTACGCGAGAGCCAGGACCAGTTGTACCATCCACTTGAGTAAATATATTTCGTAAATGCAGTGCTGCCCTCGACTAATATAACCATTTATAAAGGCGAAAAGGACTGAGCGTCGAGAAAATGAGTTTTCCTGGCTATATCTCTCGCACTGCTTTTCAGGTCCGTCTTTGGGCGCATGAGAATGGAAAAAAGACTAATTGTTTGATCGCGGAGTTCGGTTAACCAACGCCCCCCACCCCATGTCCCCAGAAATGACCGTACAAAGTTTGATGATAAAGATCAATCATGGAACTGGCCTGTGTCTTTTGGCGTGGCCGGATAGGACTCGGAAGCGCGGCAGTTCCACCCACCTACTGGCCGATTGATCCAATTCCTACCCATTGACGACTTCTAGCATTTCGTTGCTCCTGTCTGGTCCAAATTCTTCCACAGCAGGGAATTCGAAGTTGCGATTCTGTTCGTGACAGGGAGTAACCATAGGCGGCCTGGTATTCTGTTTTACCTGTGTAATTACAGAGACAGTCGGTGCACATGATGCATTATTTGACCCCAGGATATTGACCTGAAGAGACATTTGTCATACCCCACTTGTGCAGCACAGAAACTTGATGAATCTTGTTTTCCAATGCGCCAGATACCCAATAAGAACAACTGACTTTATATTATGGTTGCAAACTAGATGGCTGAGTCAACAAAATAGACTCAAGGTGACTTGTTGGCGCCGGTACACCGATGCTATCGTGTTAATTGATGGGCTTGCAAAATCTCTCATCAAGTAGACTAGGAAAGTTCAGTTCCAGCCATTGATTTTGTGCAGACATTACGGACGCTCCCGTCATGACACACCCTAGTAACTTCCTACTAGATTAGTATTCGACTTTTTATAGGTTCCTCACGTTGAGCGAGAAGCGTTCGCAACTTAAACTTTTAGTCAACACAGCCCACTGTATTATATGAGCATAATTTTGGATGTGAGCCGACAAACCGGCGTCCAAGGACTAAACTCCCAGATCAAAACTAACACATAACAAAGTCCTGATGCCGCCACGAAGAAATTACCCCCCTGGATGCATTCTATCTGACGATGAGGCGAGAAGAAACGACATAAGTAGGAGTAGGCAGAAAAAAACAAGAGATTCGACCCCACTTGCATTCTGTCACAATGCGGGCCTCATCCATGGAGTAAATTTATCGGGGTCTCAGGTAGAAAGAGGCCGACCCCTAAAATCCTATTCATGCACCTGTATTTTATCTTAGTGCTCCTGTGAAGCAGGTTGTGCTGGTCACGCGACTGGGCGTCCATACAGGAGAATATGTGATCTTTATCCTGCCTGACTCAGTCTTAACCCCCGGATCAATCTCGCGCGCCGCCTTGACTCATTTAATGCGTCGCTATGAAGTCGTACATGTCGGCGACAACACAGACGACTCGCTATCCGTGGTGTTGTCTGTGTTGTGTATGGATCGGGTGACCAGGTCGTGCGTGTGGCGGGCGCATACGGGCTTTCTAGTTCTGTCAGCCACTGCACCCATTCCCCCCACCAGACATCCGACCGGCTCGGACAGTGACTGATGCCTGGGAATGGAGGTAGAGAGTGAGATCGATGACTCACCGCGCTTCCCTCGCTATAACGCTTGAAGCTATCACGCTGCGGTAAAAGCCGTGGCTTGTAATGTTGCCAACCGATGGGATAACTCAGACCTCTCAGTCAGCCCAGTGTGTGTTTGTGTTGGGTGGCCGGCTGGTGGACTGGCAGTCAGGCTACAATGGCCCCTTCTTACTTTGGTCTCTATGGCACTCCCACTCGGGGGTATCTGAACCGGCTGGTGCGGCAGCACGCCTAGGGGCAACTGCGGCCGCGCCAGCCACCTGCGTTCACCAACCTTCGGTCTTCTGGACACTGTTTTGACACCGGGCCCAGGTGGGGGAGGTGGGGAGAGTACGGTAGATGCTGTGCAAGTCTTTTATCACTATAAACTAATTTGGGCGCAGGTCACCGTGCCAGCTCTCACCATGCTTTGGAGCACACGGTGGACATCGTCGACATCGACGGTCTAACTGCCACAGCCCGGATAGTTTCCATTGGTTCATGGATCTCAATGCAGGTTATTATTCACGCAATTGGTCTTGTCCTCTGACCTCCCATCCTTATACTGCATGTTCATGTCTTAGTTTACATCGTCAGTTGAATCACAGCTGCACTGACTGCCAGGGGGGTCGTCGGATCTCCATTGGGATTGCTAGAAAGTTCATACCTTCCAGCTCCTTCTGCGGAAAATGTCCTTCTCGATTGTAGTGGAAAATTTGTAGGATGAAGACACTTCAAGCCGTTCGCCTATAGGTGCGTTCGTTGCGGTTTCTTGAGAGAGAGAGAGAGGGACACAAAGCGATAAGGGGTGCGTCTTTACTCATAGTCACCTTTTTCGAAATACCACAACACCATTTAACAACGCCCGTTTCATTCTTGATGATCTGAGCAGTTGGCGCGCGACAACTTCGCTTCCTTCAAGAGCATGCGAACGCAGTCAATAGACAACGTCATTAATTAGCACAAGTAGTAAACAAAGAGGAAGCCATAATTTCAATCGGTCAGGAACTATGTAGATTTAAAGTTTTTTTCAGGTGGAGGCGGTTATCTCAACCGACTAATAGGGTGACGATAATCCGATGAGTAGCACTCACAAGTCGATTTTTTTCTAGCTCCAGTGAACGTCAGCCACTTTTGGCCCTTTACGAATTTTCTCTCAGAACGGAGACTCAGGCTACAATGGCTCCTTAATGTGACCCCAGTGGCACTCCCACTCGGTTAGAATCCGAGCCGCCCTTTTGTTATTTTGGTAAAAACCTGGTCCATCCTGCGCCAATCAGGCGTGTGTGTGTGACGCGTAAACGGGGTGTTTAGGATGGTGTAATTATTTACCTTACTCGCAACACAGGCACTGGCTAAAAGCCCAGACAGGCACGTCTCACCGATCTTGTGCAGCTACCAGACGCAGCTGAGAGGGTTTCGGCTCATCAGTGGGTCCCCCAGCCCTCTCCATGTGTTTTCTGGCATATGAACACTCCGGTTCCTCCTTGCCATGTGTAATTTCCGTGAAAATTATTGCGCGTCAGCTGCGTCAGACAGCGGCACAAGATCGGCGAAGCATGCGTGTCTGGGCTTTTAGCTACTTCCTGTCTTGCCAGTACGGTAAATCATTGCGCAATTCTATACTACTGGCTGCCTGTTGACGGTTTGTGAGTATTGCGCGGTTATTCCGCAGTAGCTGATGGATTTCAGCTCAAACGTTCATTTCAAATTTCGGACCGCGCCTAAAAAGGTCTGTTCAGAAGGATTTACTCCGCATTAATTTCCTCTGAAATTCAACTAGGTTGGGTGTTTAGGTTTGTCATCCACTGCGTCCCGTCCGCCGCCGGTCTTCTTGACACCGGACTTAGATGGCCGAGGGAGGAGAGAGTGCGATAAGTGCAATGCAAGTCCTTTATCATTATAAAGTGACTCACAAGCAAGCCATCGTCCCCGCGCTCACCCTTCTGTAAGGCACGCCGTGGACATCGTCGGTAAGGACGGTCGGACTATCATATACAGGCTACGTCTTCAGCTCGTTCGCGCGTTCTGAGAGCTGCCCAATTAATTTTGTATTCTCTCCCTTCACACCCCCTGCCCTCCTGTTCTCACCCATTTTCCCACCCCTCAGTATAACCAGCCCGCGCAAAAGTACGAATACTGCTCTGTGAGCCAACGAGCGTTTTGAATCGCCTGCAGGCAGCACTGTCCGCGTAATTCTTGACGCCGCGCCTGACTGGCCTCCCCTCTCATCGCTGCTGGTGTGTTTGTGTGTGTATATATATGCATACATATATCGCATTGTGCGGTCGTGCATTCCTTGCGGCCGATGTACACGATAATGGTGGGAGGAAGGGGGGACTGATTCCATGTAGTTCCGTTTACTTATGAAGAGTTTCAACTGGGTTACTCACCCGACGTGTGCTGCGATGCATGGAAAAGTAAACAGTTGCGTCACTGTCGCATCAGCCCTGTAAAAATAGCCGTCATTCGGTCTCTCTCTCTCTCTCAGCCTTAGCTTATGCTTTGCTGTCAAGCGTCTTACATCACGCTCTCTCTTCCCATTCGTCTCCTAATCGTTTGCTTTTAATTTAAACTTCCCCTGCCGCTCATTTTAGTTGCAACATGAACCTAAATCTCGACTACCTCCTGAAACTCATGTGGGAATACCTGAACCTGATCCAAATCTACACTAAAAAGCAGGGCCGTAAGTCTCTGGGTCACCCAGCTTTACCTCGAGTTTACATCTAGGCAAACCGGATCTCAATGAGGGCATCATCCTTCGCAGTGGAGCCAGCGTTGAACATGTGGTAAGTTGCATGGGCATACAGACTGACTGGGCAGCGAGGTAGGCTTACACAAAGATACTTTTTATTCTTTAAAAAACGGTCATCTCGCGGAAAATTCGCAGATATACTTTTCAAGAGACATTCCGCCGTAGTATGATTCTACACCTCTCATCTGGACTCTCTCCTTTTAGTGCCATTGTATTCATCGGACCCTCGCAAGCAACTTCAAGTATGCGCTAGTCTGGGTAAGCCCTTGTCTTTTTGAGTCTAGCTCACCATATCCTCATGTTCTTCCTCCGCCCTCCCTTCTTCCCTCCTCTGTCGCTCTGCAGAGTGGTACCTGGAATTTGATTGCCGGATCTTTGGTCAACGCTCTGCCATTGAGCTACGGGCGCATTGCTTCAGCATATATTCCTGCCTCCGAGGGCACTACATTGAGTCCCGAGGCACAACGAAACCTGACCGTAACCCGATCGATGCATGTCATTCCTACGATTATATATGTATGTATAATGGTGGAGGGGGCGCTCACCGATCGGTCTTACGGAACTCGCTCGTTCCGTTGTGCCTTACGGGCTCTCTCTCGAACCCAACCAGCAGCCGCACAGCGGCGCATGATATATAGGCAGAATGCTATTACCGACAAAGACAAGGGACACTGGGATGGCCATTTTTTGCCTTACTAGCTGTCGTCAGCCAGTCATATCCAATTCCCAAGTGTGGGACACCTTGGGCTCGAATTCGCGGCCTGTTTGCTAGAAGTCCAACGCCTCTAACCACTGAACCGCGGGCCCCTTGTCCTGTCGGTTTCGATCAGGAATATACAATGGTGGAGGGGGCGCTCACCGATCGTTCTTACGGAACTCGCTCGTTCCATTGTGCCTTACGGGCTCTCTCTCGAACCCAACCAGCAGCCGCACAGCGGCGCATGATGTAGGCAGAATGTTATTACCGACAAAGACAAGGGAGCCTGTATGTTTGCAAACATGGACTAGCAGCTGTTGTTTTAGGTTGGGCCCAAGTCAGTGTGCCGTGAACGCAGACTGTCGTGAGCGTGCACATCGACGTGGCGGTTGATGCTATTTATGTTGGAGTGCCAAGCTTCGAGAAATTCTCGTGCGCTGACGATCACTTCAGTAACGTCCAAGTTGAAGCGATGATCGCACTCAAGGTCGTGCGTAAACACGAGAAGCAAGGGGTCCTGTCGGTGGAAAGTCGGTATACGTTCATAAATGAGGATTCTAAGTCGTCAGCAGGAGCTGTTAGCACACGGAATGCGACAAATGACATTTGTCTGCTGCTCCTTGGGTAGGGGCTCTTTTACTCGAGGTAATGCTGTGCGCAGGGAGAACGCCGGCTTGTGGGTGATGGAAATGTCCGACCGAGACTAATTGTCGGGCGATCGCTTCGGAAATTCTTGGCATGTGGGGCAGGGAGTAGAATTTTCGTGACATACTGTCTTTACTAGAGTCGAAGCTTTGTGGTTGTCTCTGGCATCTGCGACGGTTTTTCACAAAGTTGATTGGATATCCGTTGAGCTGGTAGAACCGATACAAGTAAGCCAGTTCATTCCTAAGTAAATCATGACCACTGCAGTAACGGTAGACTCGGTGGAAAAGAGTTCAAACACGCGTCTTTTATGGGCCACCGGGCGGTTACTCTTATTCCTAACGATGATTTCGGCATTAGAGCTTCTTCGGCGAGCGCTTGTTGCGAGACCGCTATCAGAGTCTTTGTATACTCACGTCCAAAAGTGGGAGGATGTCTCCTGTTGCCTTTTCTCGAGTAAATTGTAGAGCTGGTAAAACGCCATTCAGTCTCTGGTAACATTGCTTAACTTTGTAAGCCTTTATAATATCGAATGTGTCGTTTACGTATCTGAACCACATTTTGACTGCAAAGTCCTCTTCTAATTGTTGTAGAATCAGCTCTAAGAGTAGCCCCGATAATGGCAAGCCCATTGGGGTACCCTTAAACAGTTTATAATACTTGATTTTGAACGGACAATACTTATTGAGACGGAGCCTAAGCATTTCAAGGACGTGTTGTATTGGAATGTTGATGGAATGGTCTTGCAAGTGTTGGACTACGCCCTCAATTGCCGGGTCACGTGGTATTAATGGAAACAGGGCAACCACATCAGAGGATAGAATGCCTTCACCAGGACTTGATTTAAGACCTTGGATCTTTTGAAGGAATGCCTGAGAGTTTTTGAGGCTGTATTGTGGTCCATCGGTGAGGGGCTTCAGTGCCTGTATAACCAATTCGCAAGGTTTTAGGCGAGCCATCTAATAAGCGCTACTACGGTCCTCAATGGTGCATCCGGTTTGTGCACTATTGGAAGGCTTTATGCATGTGCGATACAGGGGTCACTGAGAATCTTAAATCACCGGGACTTATCAGCTTTAGTCGAGTAAGTTCATTCACCTTCTTCACGGTTGTGGCATGCTTTTTCGTTGGATCCTCAACGAGTGACGTGTAGGCTTCCCTGTCGTTGAAGACTTAATTTGCTTTATTCACGTTATCAGTCTTGTCCATGATGGTGGTTGCACCATCTGTGTCAGCAGACACAATCGCTATACTGTCATCAGTCTTCAGAGATCGCCACTTCTTCTTCTCATCGATGAGTAAGGTCTGGTGACGCTTCCTTTACTAGTGGGGCGACTACGTATGCCATGTCTTCACGGACACCAGAGGTCGTCAGTATCGGTAGGATTAACCTCTTCCCCTTTGCCCTAAAATGCCAAAAGCCGGTGCCGACGTCAAAGCATGCTGGACTTGCGCTTGCCGTCTCCTTACTGATGATGTCACGGAGCCTTTCTCTTTGCCTTCCACAGGGAACAAGCGTGAAGTTTAGTCCCCAGCGAGTCGGTCTTTCGCACATTATCAACCACCACGATGTGATTCAGATTGTGAAAAAGTGAGATTTCTTCTCCTGCC